CCCCCCCCCCCCAGTAATTTTAGTTATCTGAAATCTTAACTTGTACAATTGCAGAAGGATGTCAAGAAGGATAGAGGGAAGCAATAGCTAAGTCAGTGTAAAGTATGTTTTGAAATGGTTTGTGACTAACTGGGTTAGTTGGCCATTTGAGAAAGAAGGAAAGGGCTTTTGATTCTAGTTGCAAAGGAGCATGAAGCTCTTAAAATCCAAAAGCCAAAATCTGCGCTGATCTAAATGGTTTTCATTTGGTTTGTGGGATCCACATCCACTTGTATCAGTGGTGAATGTGGCCCCTTTGTGAAGTTGTTGACTGCTCAACAGAATCACAGAAGTTAATTGCTCTGGAGTGTGATGGAAATAAGCATGGTCTGAAGTTGAAGGCCCCAAAGAAGGTAATAGTATTGCAGGTATTGAAGGTTATGGGTATTGCATAAATAGGAGGAACAGGATTGGCTTGTAAGTCAGCTGAACAAAATTGAATATCCTTATTTCGATCTTCATGTTAAACCAGTGATTCTGGTTCCTTCAATTTCTGTGGGAAAAAAATCATGTTGGTAGGTTAACATAGAAGTATTTTGCCCCTCATACATATAACCCCAGAAGGATATTTGGTATATATTGTTCATTTTTTTCATAAGCCTGCTTTATAGCAGTTGCCCATTGCAATATATGCACAAGATGAAGCACTCTGGTTAATGCATAACCCCTTTTCCCATAGCCCTTTACCAATTGTCTTGTATCTACTGTTAATTATCACCAGCACGAAACTTGATCTCATGTTTCACTGCTGTTGCTTTCTTCCTGCTACCATATAGCATGGCAAACATGCATTATGATGGCAGAGAGCAGGAACTGCATTCATATAGCGATATTGGCACATTTCTAGTCACTGCATGTGAGAGTGCCTGTTATGATTTTGTACTATATAGACTGAAGTGTTTGATGCTGCAGGAGCAAACATCAGACATTTGTTTTGGAGGAAGAAAGGGTTAGTTTTCTTTGCACTTCAACCAGAATTCTGTTTCTTTCCTAGTACAAAACAATCTGTTGAATGCCAAAGATAACACAGTGGATGGAAGGAGAGGGAAAGAAAAAGATTGCTTAGAAATAAGTTAATAGTAACAGAATTTTAAATGCACCAGAGAATAATAAAGATAAATCTGGGTAGAAATGCTTTATTATACAGTGTATTTGTGCTCTTAGTAGACTGCAACAGACTTGTGTTCATGTGTTATGAGCAATATGTGGCTGTATATTAGCAAAGCCCATGAAATACACATGCTTTAACTTATTTTTTTCTGGAAAAAAGAGAATTATTAAAAGTGGCTGAAACCAGCATAATAGCATTGCTCCTGGAAAAGCAACCTGGGAGTTAACCTGTAATGGCCAATTACAGCATTTCTAGCAATGCCTTCATATGTAGAATTTCTGGTGCAAATGTTAAAAATACTTTGGAATGAAGTTATTTTATAAAAATAGGTTCATTGCCAGGAAAAAAAAATCCTTCACTATCTACTCCCTTGGCACAACAGCCTGCTTTTTTATCTCCACACCAGTCTTTCCTTTTACACATCATTGGGAGAAGCGGAGCTCTGAAGAATGAGCTCTTTGCAACCAGGCAGGATGGGAGTGGTGAATTTTTGGCACTGGATAATTGAACAGTGGTCCTCCTATACTTTACATAAAAACACAGGGTGGAAAGAGTGCACTGCTCTCTCTGCAAACATTTCCTTTAATTCAAGGAACAATTAAATTTTGTGTAGCAAATCACAAAAGATTCAGAGCACCTCCATAGAATCCAGTTCCTGGTCTCTGAGATCACTACTGAATTTTGATAATTTCTTCCACATGACTTTGGATGAGTAAGCACAGCAGCCACCAACTGTTAGTGCAGAGGAAAACAGAGGTCCTGTCCCACTTCACTAACATTAAAATGAAGAGCCTGAACCAAAAGCAGAAGTTTTCTTGGGAGGAAGAAATGCTGTTAGAATTGCTTTGGACTGAGCTGTCGCATACAAAGACTCATGCTGCCTACTCTCCTATAGTTACAAGAGGGATGTAAAATAAATGAAGATAGGAGATATGCAAAACTGAATCATTTCCTCAGTGCTTCTCCATCCCTCATCTAGTAGCAAATCTCTAAGAGAAAAGCTGTGAGCAAAAGACCCCTTGTAAAACTCGGTTGGGGAGGGAATAAGTATCTTAACCCAAATGAGTTCCATATACAGTGGTACCTCGGTTCACGAACTTAATTCGTTCCACGACTCTGGTCGCGAACCGAATTGGTCATGAACTGAATCAAATTTTCCCATAAGGTTCAATGTAAATACGGTTAATCTGTTCTGAACCATATGTATTTTTTTTAAAACCACAAAAATATGAAAGTACAGTACAGTATGAAGAGAGAGAACTCTAACCTTGCTTGAGGCGACTTCTGGCGTGGAGGACAGGAAGGCAGATGGGGAGGCGGTTATTGTTTGGAGGGAGAGTCTCCCTCCCTACAGGAAGCCACGACCACGTGTCACAGCAGGGAAAATGGCCGTGGGTCGTGTTCGTCACCCGATGCGGAGTTCGCGAACGGAAGCAAAATTTTGCGAACAGCGCTGTTTGTGAACCAAATTGTTTGTGAACAGAAGCGTTTGTGAACCGAGGTATTACTGTATATCCCATCACCTCAGCTCTCTCACATAAAAGACAACAGTACCTAGGTCAGTGTTTCTCAACCTTGGCCATTTTAAGAAGTGTGGACT